CAAAGTGCCAGCGTACATACGGCTGCTTGCGCCTGAGGGATCGTTAGAGGTGCACGAAGAGGCCTGGAATGCCTACCCCTACTGCAGGACGGTCATATCGGTGAGTGGGCGATGGCTTTCCCCTTCCTAATTATATACTGAATGCGATTTAAGGATTTGATTTAATGTACTAAGAAAATAAGATTGAGTTTTAACCTAGTGTTGGCAGGGATGATGTTTGTATTTGCTAGGCCCCACTGAGTATAGTTTAATAGTTTACACATAAGTGCCTCCATAAGTACTAAGTCAGCTAGGAGTCAATTACTAGTATTACATGACTCACCTGTTATAATTTTCCCCCTGATTTTTGGAAATATTTTCTTTTATCTCATTGCTATTAATATTGTAGATAACATTAGAACAATTGCAGTGTCTGTAATAATGATAACTGCATCATTATTGATAGCAGTAGTAAAAAAAAATATGTTTTTCCCAAAAGATCAGGGAAAGGTGAAATTGGGTGAGCTCATAGGGCCTATAAATTGACTCCTTAGCAGTTGATTATTAATGGAGCCATCCGAGTGTAGAGACATTTCACGAAACATGTCTACAGTGAGTACTACATTTTCTTGGCGGCATTGGGTTAAAATTGATTTTGTGTGAGATTTGATAACCAATTTAATACTTTTAATCAAGAGTGCAATATTGGTATACTTGGACAAATGATAGTGTGAATGTCTTTGCTGAATGTTATAAAATGGAAAAAATTGAGCTTTGGTTGTAGTCATTTTGCTTTGGTTACATCAGATCAGTGTAGGAAGTATTTTGTGATATAAGATATGAAAAATTTAAATTCTAAGGAAGAAATATAGAACTTTAATGCCCATATATCAGTTTTGCTTGTCATATTATCTTGGATGATTTTTACCAACAACTTCTTTTATTGAGACACTATGTTATGATCTTTTCTACTTACTCTTTTTATACAAGATTTCTTCTATGCTGAAAGAAGGCAAAGTATGTTTAAAGAAATTAATAATATTTATAGAATCATATTTTTTCATATGTGTAATTCTTTGTGTTTATAGTTTTCATCAGTATATGAGTAAAGAATATTTTAGAGGTGATATTAAAAATGGTGAGATGATATTAGCAAAACTGATACAAGTATTTAGTATTTCATGTTCTCAGTTACAGAACCTGTGTACCTAGAATTGAAATTTATTAAATAATTTTTATGAATGTTTCCCAAGTGACATGAGTCAACTTGTTAACCATGATTTCCATAATATGCAAGATTGATAGTTTGTAAAAGAATAAGCCTGCATGAAGGACTGAAGTTGTTTCATGATAATTATGCTCATGATTCCATACATTCCATACTCTCAGTGTCTAGTAAGAGTATAAAGATTTACACTTGGCCCATGATTACAAGTTTGCCTCTCCTACCCTCTAATGTGTCATGCGAGTCAGACAGACAGTTACGTTTCAGAACCCAGGTTACATGAAGGATGCCTTTTACGTCACAATTGAGACCCTCCATGCCCCAGGCCATGGTGATATGGAGAATGTGAGTGGCGCAGTCCATGCATTGCAGCATGTCCATGGCTCGCTCTGCTTGGCTCGCGGTAGCCATCCTAACCTGTTGCCATCCACAGCACAGACTTACATCATTTCCTGAGCTTGGAATGGAGTAACCCAGGGGAGGGGGGGGGAGTAGACGAAGGGACGATTGAGATTTAATGAGGGGAAGAATTGAGCAATATTGAACTGGGTGGAGGGAAGATAGATAAAGAAAGATGTAAAGATGGATATATAAAAGATTGATAGTAATTCAAGTATGACATTGATGGATATATGAAAAAAATGAGAGAGACTTATATTTAATGTAAAAGTAGACATAGGTGGGAATAGAGGGACTAAGATACTAAGAACAAAGCAAGGGAAGACGTCCCCCTCTGGCCTGCGCGCTCCATTCCCTGCTCCCATATTATTCGTTTCTATTCCTCCTCATTATGCTTATCCTCATGCAAGACTTGTGTTGTTAATCTGATGTTGGCTGGCCTTTCCTGAGAAAATAAGTCATACCTTTTTTTTTCCCCTTTTTCTATATATATATATTTATACACATATCTCTTGTCCTTTGTCTGAACTGTTAGCTCATTTTGCATGACATCTGCATTTTTCTGCTGAGATGAAAATATATAGTATTTTATGAACCTTTGTGCTTATCAAACAAGGTTCTTCCCAGTCACCTCACATCAGCAACAATAGCCGCAGCATATACAGTACTCTTTATCTTCAGCTTACGGACCCACCTGACGTGCAGGATTTATATATTAAGCCAGTTACACGTAGGGCAAAATATTTGTTCTGTAAAATCATTTTATTATTGTGTGTGTGTTTGAGTTGAGTCTTGTGGCTTTTGGTAGTGATGAAAAAAAAAAGAAAAAAAAGGAATAAAATAAAAGTAAATGAAATATAGATTAAACACCTTGAGTATGAGATTCTAAAGAATAAGATCCGGATTCACAGCGAACCCATTGGGAGCCACTGTTCCAAGATCCCTTAAAGAGAAAACGGAACTGAAGTTTTCATTAGAAGTCTGCCTGGACTAATGATCAAGGCAGCATTGCAGCAGATGGTGGTGAATGACCCATGGTTAATTTGTCACAGAGGGTACGGACAGATTCAGACAGTGGGAAACAGATTCTTGCTGTCGTGATGCCAACAGGGTCATCATTGGATCCAAGGGGTTAAGCAAATAATTCTTTCAGTACTTAATATTTATATAAAAAAGACAAATTGAACAAATCTTTTGCATACTTAATGACTAACTGTAACCACACTCACTGAAGCTACTACTTGGCAACACTCATAGCACTTTTAAGAATGATCGTCACAGCCGCCGGGTCTCCTGCTCACTCCTAGGCTTCCTGAGTTGCTAGATCTTATTCCAACACACTTTAGTCTTACCCCCCCCCCCCCATATCCCCGTCCTCTTCCTCTCTCCCTCTCTCTCTCGCTCTCTGTCCATCCACCCTCGACTGCCACGGTCCTTTTGATCAGTGTTATCACATCTTTTTTATATATTTCTCTCCTCTTTTGGAAATTGCATGACAGAACCCAGGCTATATGAAGAAAAACTTTGTCATTTGCATTGAGACCCTTCACGTTGCTGACATGGGGACGACGGAGAACGTGAGTTGTCGTGCCAGTCTCTTGTGACGTTTTAATTCTTTTTTCCATTTTGTGGAGTCATTTTTTTCTCTCTTTCTCTCACATTTTCACATGTTAATGCCTTAACAGCGAAGAATTAGAAAGGAAAGAGAGAGAGATAGGTTACATTGAATTTTTTATTAATATATTATATATATTTTTTTTAGAAAAGTTCATTTTGGCCAATTACTCTATATAGAATTTAAAACCAGAATACTGTTGAAGCTATACAGATCACAGATCATTTAGTTATGATATAGAAATTATACTTAAAATCATATAACATAATTTACATAATTTATGCTATTTATTACATAGTGTATTATATTCTTTTAAGATCACACTGGGTAAATGAAGAATGCTTAAGAATCATTAAATTAACATCCTTGATTATTTAAGTTCGGGGTAATTTCTCCATGGTGTGTTTTTTGTTTTTCCTAGTTTATTGTTTGTTGAATATTTGATTATGTTTAGACTGAAAACGTGATGTTTACTTCTTTTTCTTTAGCCGTGTCATGTTTTTTCTTCTTGAGTGTAACGTATTTTTGTTTTTCCATCTTCATCTTCTGTTTTATTGCTGTTGATTTAGTCTCTATCACATAACCAAATTGTACCGTAAGGTATATTGTAGTTGTGTTTTAGTTACGCTTTTTGGTTACATACATTAAGCAGGTGCTAGCTCCAAGCTTCAATTAACACTTGGGATAAACTCAAATAACCTATTACTTCCATTACTATTAACAAAAATTATTGTGGCATCTAATAGATATCATAATGTTTTAAAGTTCCATTGCCATTTTGGTAATAAAAGGAAAAAGACACTTAACAAAAGCTTACTAAGATGGATATGAAAGATAAAGTCATTTCTATTTTCTCTCACAATTCCTAATTTCAAGATAGATACTCTAAACAATCAGACCAGAAAGTAACTTGAAATGATTTGTAATCACACCTTAGCCTGGCGCCCGGGCGAAAACCCATTCCTGCGATCTCTAACACCCTTTCTCCAGGCCCACGAACTAACTGGAGACAAGCTGAAGATGCGAGAGGTTGTGACCATCGACATTAGCAACGACCCAGTCAAGCCAGCTGACTACAAGCCCTCCGAAGACCCCACGAAGTTCAAATCGGAGAAGACAGGGCGAGGACCTCTGGTAGGACCCCAGTGGTGGAAGAAGGTGAGTGCAAAGCATAAGTCTGTGAGAGAACCAAGAGGCTTGTGTTTAGGTGTGCTGTTGAGTGATGAGGATGGTTTTGTAGGTAGGATGCAAATGACAGTGAAGAGTTGAAAGGAGGGTGAATGGTGAAAGGGTCAGGAAAATGGATGATTGGTTGATGAAAAGGGTAAGGAAAATGGATGATTGGTTCATAAAGGGGTGAGAAGAAATGGATGCTGATAAAAGTATGAAAGATTGATGATGGTTGATGAAAAGGGTGAGAAAAATGGATGATTACTTGATAAAGGGGTGAGAAGAAACAAATGATAAAATGGGTGAGGAGGATAGATGATGGTTGATATAAAGGATAAGCATAGTGGATGACAATTGATGAAAGGAGTAAAAATGAGGGTTGATGGTTGATAAAAAATTGATGAAGAAGAGTAAATTAGTAGGGTTAGATTGGAGGAGAAGGGTTCAGTAGGGAGGGTGAGCTTGATGGAGAATATTGAATAAGTGGAGTGAGAATTATGGAGATTAGATAGAATGAGAGTATTGAAGAAGGAAATATAGGTAGAGTGTGAATGGTGGAAAAGGGTAACTGAAAACGATAAATGAATGTAGATAGGGAAGGTAAGAGAGATAGAAAATAGAGCATAAAGTAAAGAGATCATTCAAGAAAAACCAAGAAGTGTAAAATGGTAATGGTAATACAGAAAGGTTTGAGAAATTTCTTGAAAAAAGCTTTTTAAACTATTTAACTACACATCAAAGAATAAAATGTCTTAAGAAAATAACTATATTTGATATAATTGTTAAGGCAACAGAAGGTATTGGCACCTTCCTTAAAAAAAAAGTTTACTAAGAAGAAAAGAGTGTATTATTTTAACTGTATTTCATTGTTGTATCCTTCCTTCAGTGTGATCCCGTCATGACCTGTTACAAGCTGGTGACATGTGAGTTCAAGTGGTTTGGACTCCAGACGCGCATTGAGAAGTTTATTCAGGATGTTGAACGAAGACTTTTCACCAATTTCCATAGGTGAGAGAGTGAATTTTGATGAAAGCTTTTAGAATTGATCACTGAAGCAACTTTTAGGGGAAAGTTATTACAATTTAATAAATTGATCTTGAATTTAGTATTCCTGTCTGTGGTAAATAGTGAATAGTTTTTTCTTGTTTTCAGTCTGGAAAGAGAAGGAATCTGTTATCTTTTTTAAATATTAATTTTAAGTATTTATAAGCTGCAAGTTAAATGGGACAGTTCTAATTCATTTCCTTTTTCAAGAAGCTAATTCAGTTTAGATCATTATAATCATCTGTTTTTTCTTACTTTTTTCTTTTTTCTTCTATAATTAATTTTCTGGTTATCTTTTCCAGGCAAGTTTTCTGTTGGATGGACAGATGGCACGGACTGACCATGGAAGACATTCGGCGATTGGAAGACAAGACGAAGGAAGAACTTGACCAGGTATTGGCTCAGGGTTATTTCAGATCACTGGGGTCGTAGGTGTGAGAGAGAGGCTCAAGTAGGGTTTAGTGGTAGAATTTATCAAAATTATCTCAACATTTGTCCCTCACTAATGTATTATTTGGTATACCCTGATAATCACAAGTAAATCATAATGATTTTTTATTATTTTTAGAAATTCACTAAAAGCAAAATTGAATATCGGAAATTCTGTCTTCTAAAATTTGACATGGTTGTACGTGTCTTGTTTTTTTCCAGAAATCCATGATTTTTGTCTTATTCATCATCTTGCTTAAGTAGTCAGTCCTTGCCACTTTTGTAATACTATATCATTTTGGTATTCATAGAATCTTTTACAATGCATCATAGGCTAACAACTTAAGCTAAAATGTCAATGAGATGAAATGACCATTCTGCAAGCACATTAAGTCCAAAATTGTAACACCTCATTTTGGTTTAGATGACTTTGTCCTTTTAATCCATAACTACTGGGTGAACAGAATTCCCTGAGTGTGATAAACTCTGGTGATTTCTGAAAAAGGCCAGACATTGGGCGTGAGAGTCCAGGACATCAAGCTGAATGTCCCACTCCATGTGCTCTGGCGCGTTGCCATGCGTACAAGCGTACCCCACAGACCAAGCAGTTTGTTATGATGCTGATACACATGACCTGTACACCAAAGCAAAACATTGGTCGGGGATAATTTGTAGATGATATAGGAATATTTTGATTTTATTTTTGTTTTTACCCAAAGTGTTGCCAGCTCCCTTAAGATCTGATTGTTGTAAATGATTCTCCATCAGAATAGTATTACTTATTTGAATTCTTATTTTTAATCCATTGCCGCCAGGGATGGCATGTACGTACATGCCATGCCCACTGAGTCGACTTGTTCGATTGTTTTTACACATAGATGGCTACACTTGTACTAAATCACCAATGAGCCAATTACGAGTACTGCCTGTCTCGCCCGTTCACCTTTTTCATCGATTTACGAAAATATTTAACGTTCTCCTAATTTGCTGTTAAAAATAACACCATCTATATTTATAGCACTTGTAAGAATATGTTTTTTTCCCGCCAATTCAAGGAAAGGTGAAATCAGGACTAGCAAAGCCATCTATGGACAGATATTTCACAAAAATATAAAATATGAGTACTGCATTTCCCCCATTTTTTGTTCATTTTCCCTGGCGGCAATGGGTTAAGAGTGTAACATAAAATGAGCAGTTATGCAATCACTGCACTCTTGGCCTGTGATCCTAAGGTTTTCTTGAACCTTCCAGCAAAGACAGGTTGGCGAGGTGCGAGGAACGAAGGGCGAATAAACCCATGCGGCACTCCACTCCGGCAACACAGAAAGACGCAAGCTGCCAGACGAAGATGGACTATCCACTCAAGTTGAGAGATCAATCATTCAGCACTATAGGAAATATTGGGTCTATTGCAATCGTTGATTTCATTGATCTGCATCCAGTAGATTCATAAGGAATAGGGAGGAGAGAGAATAAGTTATAAGGGGAGACTGAGTGAAGAGGTCGTGACATTGAAAAACCTTCTCTTTCCTCTTTGAGTTGGTGAGATATGAGTGGTTGTTTTTTTTTTATATATATATTTCCAGTAGATCAAAAATCAGAGTTGTTACTTTGTTATGTCTCTGAGGATTTGGTTTCATGATCTGAGTCTGTAACATGTCCTCCACTTCCATCATAAGGAGCTTGTTAATCATGTTTCATAAATTATTGTATTTGGTAGAGTTGCCATAGGAATACAGCATGCGTTCAGTATTATCTAATGACAGTTCAGTCTTAATTTTTGATAAAAAAACAAAAATCTTCAACCCCACTTTTAATATGATGCCAAAAAAGATAAGATAAAAAGAACAAGAATAAGAGGGAAAAGGTAGTAATTAGTAGATAGGATAAGACAAAGAAATATCTGGGACTGACCAGTTTGAAAAATACAAAAAGATAAGACTAGAGGAGTCATAATTTATGAATGAATGATTTATGAGTAAATCATTCAGGCATGCTTATGAAAAGTGAAGGACTTTTCAATCTGAAAACTTTGAATCTCTGCTTTGTGAAGAAGTCTTTTGTCATTTTTAGGTACTTTGTTGTTTTCTCCTTTTTATTTCTGACTTATTTATTTATTGAAAATGTATCCTTAGTTTTCCTGGTTTGAATAACAAAGTAACTGTTATCATATCTGACGTGGCTTTTGATCAAAATCATAAGGTAAAAATGATGGCAATTAATATTTTAAAACTTTTGTTATTGTTGTTGTTATTGTTACCATTAATATAATCATTATACTGATGCTATATTTTGATAGTAATGATGATATCATTATTATGATTTACTTTTTTCCATTACCATTTACCATATTTGTCATGGTGAAGGGTACTTAGTATGCATATAACTTATTTGATAAAACATCTGTTATGAGTAACTTAAGTTCTCCATCGGGTACATTACTGTCATTGACTGAATATGATAAATACTGTTGCATTTGTAATATTTCATGTAATGCTGAATTGTTACCAAATATGGAATTCCAATGTACTCCCTTTCTCAAGTGAAGTGAGTTCTGCTCCTTGTTCAGATCTGACAATAATGTATAAATGCTAGTCCCATTACTTCACAAAACGTTGGGTATATTCTTTATTTTTTTAGTTCTGAAAGTGAAAAAAGAAGCAAAGGGAAATGAAATCTCCATCACTTGTTTTGTGAAGGCATGGTCCTTTTAACAGTTTGTTCAGTGATTTGTTATGTGATATGAATATCTGTCACTTGTCATTAGTTGAAACTCCATATCTCAAAACTTACGTTTTATGTAGAAATTGATCAGAAATTTGAAGCTATAGAATTACTAGTGGAATGATAGACACACAGTTGAGTGAAGTTGTTAATTATATGAATATTAATCATAATCTCGATCATTGCCAGTTCGGTGTGTTCTTCCCTCTTAGTTTCAATAGGAGGGAAGGAAAACAAGCAAACAGGAAATGAAGAGCGGTTAATTAGGGCCGACTGGGTCTGTCTGAGGAATTATCGAACATAGAGTAAGTTTAGTCGGTGAGTCGTGATTGTTGTTCTGCCTGACATGTGATTAGTGTTTGTTTGAGTTGTTGAACAGGTTGGTGGTTGTGTTAGTTGAGAGATTAACAGTAGTGTATCCCTGTGCTGTTAATGTAACGTGATAACAGAGAAAAACTGTAGGTTGTAAATGGAGAGAGCAAGTATATTTTCCTTTTAGGATCCAAGCGAAGGAGATTCGGTTATTATCCAGTGGCTTCAGAGAAAACAAAGTCTGGAGGTAACTTAGACAGCCTTGAGCATGTCCACTCCCTACATAGAACTGCATTCATCTAGAGGAGAAGTTTAGTAAGCTTACCATTTATTTGAGAAAATAGACCTCAGGGCAAAGATGAGAGGAGCTCTGCCGTAACCTTGCCTAGTTTGAGCCAGCATTCTCTAACTTGACTTTAGGTGTTCAAACAAATTTCCATCGAGAACCAGTGTTAAGAAGACCTCCCCTTTTTCGCTGGTAAGTGTCATTGGTTGGAAGATTTCATTTAGGGTAATTATAGGGTTCAGTACAGTAAAAACAGTGCTGGTTTTATGAGAAATCATGTACTTTTGAAAATCATGAGTTCGTTGTAATGAGAAATTTAAGAGCAGGTATAGGAAATTCTGAGATTAGTTTATTAACATCATGTATCAGAAGACTACTCATGTCATAGTAGAAATAAAATACCTGTGCCCACATCCCCTCCAAACTCCCCTCTCCCTCCCTCCCTCTTTCCCTCCTTCCCTTCCCTTTCTTCCCTCCCTCCCTTCCCCTGTTTCCCAGAAATGCACATGGCTTTCAGAAAAGATTAAATCACTAGACCTGTAACATTTCGGCATTTTGAATAGAAGTGGACAATGTTTAGCACGGAACGATTCTTTCGTCTTCTTCTTTTTCTCGTCTCATTTTTCCCGCATTTAGAAGAAAGTCAATTAATTACTGGGAAATGTAGATGTAACATCATTAGCTAGGAGTAATTACATTGAAGGTAGAGAGATTCCTTCCAAGTTGCGTGTCTTTGGAGTGGTGGGTCTGTGCTAGGTTTCTCTCTAGGTTTTCACATATTGCTAATATCTAATGATGATGTTTGTGTAACGTTTTGTTATGTCTGTAATAGACGAGACTTACAGATTGTTAACGGATGCAAGACTGTTGACATTACTGTTGTTGATGGAATTTGCGTATTCTCCGCTACGTTTCTGAGGCTGCTCATTTTGAAATAATAAAATGACCAAAATGTTAGCAGGTTAATGTTATCATCTGGGATCATATGTAGTTCAAACTGTGTGCTTTTAGACTGAGCTAAGATTTGTGATAGCCTGTGTTCCCATTTTGTTTCGGCACTAGAGGCTGACCCTTTCAGGAATGCCGTTAAGTCTCCTAATAGATCTCATGCCATCACCCTCTGTGGAACAAAAGGAATAGTGATGATCTAGTAGATATAGTAGACTGTTTTTAAAAGATTTCTCTTATTTTTATGATTGTTATGATTATTTTTTTATTTTCATTTCTTGTCTAGAGATAGATTTCTATTTTACTTTGCTCCAGCTGTTGAACATAACACGTGTTGCATATTAGAGGCACTCACACGCATTCCAGTCATAGATCTTCGTTGCTTCAGTTCTAACAGCTTGATATTCAAGTACCGACTACGCTCATTTTTTGAGTTCAACGCGTGTATTAAGTTAGCACAGTTGTAAATATGGAAAGCACCAGTGTTAAACAGAAAACGCATTCCAGTCATAGATCTTCGTTGCTTCAGTTCTAACAGCTTGATATTCAAGTACCGACTACGCTCATTTTTTGAGTTCAACGCGTGTATTAAGTTAGCACAGTTGTAAATATGGAAAGCACCAGTGTTAAACAGACCATGCAGCAGCTTCATTTATTCTTCCCTTGAGGGCCAAGCCACAAATGGGGGAAAGAGTGCCAAAGATGTCGTGGGCAACACAGAGAGAAAAAAAATGTCTTTCTGACAAAAACTTACGTAGAGAGAACAGATTGGTACATGTATGTTAGATCAGATGACAATATCATTAACTGATAAGAATGTTGTATTTAAAACTTCTCTGTTGCTTGCTACGTTGGTTTTTGGCATCTCTACTTTCCAGGGTTTTTATTTTCTATTTTTTTATTGTTTTTATATTATTTTTCAAATTTATTTTTATTGTTTTTTTTCTATTTGTGTATAGAATCATTCCATTAAACTGTGCAGTTGATCATGAATCTGATTTACCTGTTATGTGAAGCTGTAGTGATTTATTAGCTTATCTGTTGTTTGGACACCTGAGAAAATGTATGATAAATGGATATGCTGTGTGTTGAAAATTGTTCATTGAAGAAAGCCATATAGAAAGGAAAAAAAATAAAAAAGTCAGTTGCTTGTTTGATATACTAGTGAAACCAGTTGGGTAGAAATTTAAAAGAGAAAAGGAGTTTAATAAAAAGTGTAGTTATGCATTCTTTGTTTGAAAGGACAATTAAAAGGACAATTTAAACATTTAGTGATCTTTAAACTAGGTTTATAAATTGAAGAAAAAGAATGTGTCATTTACTGCTATGTGAAAAAGTCATGGAAAATTTCAGTACATGTGAGTATCAGTCTAAATATCTCCATGTCATGTGAAATATGCGAAAAATGAATTAGAGTCGAAACAAGTAACAAAATAGATTCGAATGAAAGACACAATGGAAGAATAAAAAAAACTCAGAAGTGGCTACAGTTTATTACTGATGATACGTTTAAACACATCTTTTTTATCATAAGTCTCATTTTGTTCCATACATAGTCTTTATTGTGATGAATTTCTTGATATTAATGATATCCGTTGAGCATAATATAATGCTGATGATTTTGTATCCATCATTTCAGTTCGTTTCATCATCATCATCAGTAATCCTCCATCCAGGTATCACATGCCGCATCATCTAAGGTAACAAGCAGTCCCTCATATGTCCCTGAAGCAACTAGACCATGTCCAGTGATCCATAGTAGTCGGACCATTCCTCACAATTCATTGGTTAAACTAAGCCATTCCTCACAATTTTCAGCGGTTGACTAGACCATTCCTCACAGTTCAGCAGTTGACCATTTTTCATACTCTACGCACCACCATTCCTCACTGTAGGCTAAACCTTTGCCCCCGATCTGAAACTATTTTTCCAGTTGGTCAGTGGGCGAATAAAAAGGGTTTGCGGAGGCAGATGGAACTACCTCTGTATTTTTATAATCAGGAGGAGGTTCATTGCAAGTGGATTTCACAATCGGTAATCAAAATTTTGTGTTTCATCGCGTCTCAGACTGGTTACATTTGGTCATTTCAGATTGTGCACCAAAATCATGTGTGATGGCTTTTTAGCAATATTCTAAGACTTTTTTTTTCTTTTTCTTTTGAAATTATGGTATCCATTAGAGATATATTGTTGTGGTTGGTTCAATAGAGGAATAATAAAAGATATTGTTATTTGTTCTCATTGTATATATTCTGAGTATTAAATCACTCTCATGCTCCTCAACATTGATATTGGAACAATAATTATTTTGGTCAGAAGAAATACTCCTATTTTTTGTCTGATTCACAGAAATCAATTGAATTATGCAAATTTAGGGGGAAGAGAAGTGCTGTTATTTTTGTAGGTGAGGGGAGAGTGATTGCACATCATGACAGTGACTATCACAACCCTCCACCTACAGTCCTCTCTCCCCGAAGTCATACATAGTAAATGCTCTATGAAAACCTATTTCTGCTCTCTGTTTACTTAACCCTCAGGTATATATATTTTTTTCTATGTAAATATATATTTTATTATGTTATATTAAACTCACATCTTTTTTTTTTCTTTCTTTTTTTCTTTTTCTTTCCCTTTCTCCCTTTCTCATTGCATCTTGTTTCTCAAGTCGATCTGTGTAAATCATTTACGTTCAAGCCTTGACTCACACTCTCCTTTGATGATTGGCTCGTGACGTATTTTAATCACTCGCACTTTCATGGGCCTTTGTCCCTCTAAGACTTGCCTTGCCATAAATAATGTCATAGTTTACATACATGCATTTCTTTCTCGTATCAGTCAGTATTTATAATGCACTGCGATTTTACTTCAATCAGATTTATACATCATTCTATTTTTTTATGGGTATGCATTAAGTTCATAATATGTTGTTTGATAGTTTAACAATCTGCTGTACCTTGTTCCTGATTGTTAATGTTTTTTGCATCATTGTGACCAGGCATTGTGTGTTTGTGAGGAGTGTACAGTAAGTGAACATTTAAAATAATGACTTAGTAAGAGAAGATAATGTAATGCTGTATTAGTCCAAATATAATATGTTCAGACCAGCTGTTTCTTCTGTCCCGGCTTCTCAAGTTATGAACATTATTTGAACATGTGTCACTGTAAAACTATGAGAAAAGATGATAACTTTTAACTGTAAGGAGAATTCATTGTTCTATTTTCAAGTGGATATCCTTTGTGAATTGATACATACATTATGTAACCTGACATCAAAAGTCCCACTCTTGAACACTTGCCCTTGAAACTGAAGTCTTTATCTATTTAATGAAGATTCAGAATTATAATGAATTTGTTATATTACACCTTTAGTTTTTAAAGATCACCCATATTAAGAATTACTCTTGATGATAATGATGATAAGCATTATCAGCCAAACAATGCCTAAAAGAGAGAATTAAGTTCCTTAAAGCCAATTATCAATAAGAAATGGGAGAGCATAGCAGATAAGAGCAAGTGAATGGTCGTAAAGATAAAGATAAAAGTCCTGTTGTAACAATGGCTTAACAGATAAGGTTGATGCAATGACGCCAGAGAAAGATAATTAAAGATTGTAGGCTTTCATAATATGGATAAAAATTACCTTTGTGTGTAATGAGAAAAGAAACTGAAATATATTTTTACCTACTCTTTTTTAAAAAAGTATTACAATGCATATTATTATTGAAGGTACACCATTTTGAAATCAATATGTTGAGTCATTTAAAAAAAAAAAATCTATATTACAAAAGTACAGATACAAGCCTTGAAATTATTTCCTTATATAAGCATACAGACGATTTTATGTGTCAAGAAAGACATTAAACATACCGATGAATTATATAATAATTTCACTATACAATTCTGCCGACTAATCGTATTATCAGCATCTTAAGTAACTGCATAGTCGTCCACACACACACACAAGTTCAGGTTGTTAAAGAATCAAGATTTATTGTGTGACATACGAGTCATAGTTTATTTCGCGTCACATGCCAGCTGTCACTTTGTCCTGCCCTTACTCAGCAGTATGGTGTGACGTCATCGTTCCGTTCCTTGCGACGTCATGAATTGTCCCGCGGATCGATAAAATGTTGGTTTTCTGCTGTTCTTTTAGGCGACTATTTCGAAGATGTCGTATTTTTTTGCATGTGAAAGAACGCAAATATAGGTAGTTTGGAATGATAGTAGAAACAGTGTTAGACTTGATACTGGGAGAGAATTTTTTTTATATATAGGCAGGTGCTCTGTCTTATCGAAATATTATCGATACATAATTCGAATAATACCAGCCTCATAAAAAAACGCAATTGTCAAAAAAAAATCAAAGTAAAACATTTCCAATAAGGAGACAGCTATAACGATTAAAGAAAGAAAGAAAAAAACAGTTTACGCATTGCGAACTTCTAATATTCCAAGTGTAACGAAAATGTCCAAGAAAGGAAACTGCCTAATTATCTGTATGGCGGCATCTGGAAGCTCCCCAGGCAAGTAGAGGGCGTGACAGCGAGAGTGAACTCATTCGTGCCGAGTGTCCAAGGAGGTCACTCGTCACGTGCATGGTGCATGGTGAAGGGATAGAGTGGTGTCTGTGTGTACGTGGTGTCTGTGTGTACGTGTGTCTGTGTCGTGTGCGTGTGTAGAGATCGTCAGGTAGAGGGTGTGCACTCATGTGAAGAACACATTACCATACATATCTACTTATCCTATATATATATGTAGATACATACTTACAAACATATGTGTGGGTGCGCGCGTGTATGTGTGTGTGTGTGTATGTATGTATGTATGTATGTGTGTAGTTGTATGTATGTGTGTGAGTGTGTGCGTGCATGCGTGTGTGTCTATGTGCCTATTTGTATGTGTACATATGAATGCATGCTTGTATGCATTTATATGCATCGTGTGCTTTCATACATACAGTATCTAATAATACTAAACATTGACAACTACGCCCTGGGAAAGGCTTACCCCCCCCTCCCCCATTATCCCACAGATAAGAATGGCAAAAACGTCAAACCTGAAGAAACACCATAATATAAAATGAAATATAAAACACGCACACAAAAAGAAAGCAAGAAAACCAAAAAAACGTCAAAAAATAACCTCATGACTAGTGAGGGAGAAAAAAAAATCACATGCCTCCCCCTCCTCCCCTCCCCCTTCCCTCCCATTACAAAAGTACAGATCCACTCTTGAAATTATTTCTTATATAAGCATACAGACGATTTTATGTGTCAAGAAAGACATTAAACATACCGATGAATTATATAATAATTTCACTATACCAATTCTGCCGACTTGTCGTATTAATCAGCATCTTAAGTAACCTGCATAGTCGTCCACACACACACACAAGTTCAGGTTGTTAAAGAATCAAGATTTATTGTGTGACATACGAGTCATAGTTTATTTCGCGTCACATGCCAGCTGTCACTTTGTCCTGCCCTTACTCAGCA